GTATCATGGAACGCAGCGCGTTACGATCTCAATGCGTTATCAACACACACACGTTTTCCACATATTTTCCTTTCTTTTTTCAGTTCTCTATAGGACTGTAATTTTAATTTAGTGTTACCACAGTTACGCGGTACTTAAATTATTGGAGAAAACGCCATGAACTTTCTCTTCGATCTGTTTCAGCAATTCGAATCTTTCGGCTTTGTATGATTAAGCCCTGAAGGCGAGTACAGACGCTAAACTTTGTACAAATATGTATATGTATATATGTATAAAGATAATGGCATGTGCAAGGATCAAACGGATTTATTTGCTCAAGTTCTTTGATACAAAATTTAATAATAGTTTTTTTCTTGTTTAAAATTCAATTAGTCCATCGGGTCTCTAATATATCAACATGTATGAGTCCATCTTTATTCTACAGCAATTGTAGCCATCATCTTTTCGAATACAATTTTGGTATTCTCAACATCTGGCAGCGACTGACTAAAAAGTCGCTGGTCAGAATCTGAACTTCGGGTTGTGGCGATGCATAATGGATTCAAATCTCATTGACAGTAGCAGATTGCCTAATCCATTGCATTAAATTTGCCCCAAGTTGATTGAGCGTTATTAACTTTTTTCCTTCTGCCCCACTGGCAGGAATTTGGGCACTCAGTTGGCGTAATTGACACAGACGTTCACTTGCAGATCTCTGCATTAAAACACAAATAGATTAAATACAATTATCCGGAAGTTAAATTTCTTTCCGCTAGGAACGTTGCACACGCCCTTCTTTCAACATATACTTATTATTAGCCAATAATACAATAAAATCTCCTCAATATATTTACTGAAAATGTAAAATCATAAATATGCATCCATCCAATTGTCCTATCATTTAACCAAACTCCTACCGGTCAGTTATAATTACAGTTTCGACTACAGTTTTTTACATATACAATACTGGTTAATGCAGATTTGATCCCTCAAAGTGAGATCCAAAATAATGAAGAGTTACAGAAACTCTAATCGTTGAAATATTAGCTAACGCTGCCAATAGGTTTTGTGTAATAAATTTTTTAATAACTATCTTTAAAAAAACGAACAATTAATATTTAAACAGTTCTTTTTTTTTTTTTTGACCAGCTACTGATGTCCATAGGGAAGGATTATAGGAAGAGTCGGGAAAAGAGAGGAATAGTGTTTGTTAACGTTCGACTTGAAAATGAAGCCATCAGGTACGGCAGGAAAGATCACTGCTGGTTGGTTGTTGCAAAGGCACGTTTAAAAAACGGGGAATCGCAGTAGTGTGTTGTGCGGTATACAGGTCACTCCAGAAAGAGTAAGTGAGCACGCTCACTAGTCGTGTTAAAGCATTTACTTGATGGATATATCTTTGTCTCTGATGAACATTTGCCCTGAGTGCGTCTGCACATGAGCGCAACACAACCCGCGTTATGACAAGTTCTGGAGACACTTTCGTCACCCATGAACGCCTGAGCCTTTCGCTAAGTCTAGAGACTCCCGCCTACACATGCACTAATTTTTGACTGGATATAGGAGGTGTAAAAGGCAAATGTAATGCCCGTAGTGAAGTATTGTTTGCATCGCTTTAAAAAACCTGTCCAACTAACATCATTTTTCTACATTGATACCATCGAAAGAGAGGGGTTGATCATAATGGTCCCTGTACGTTAGGAAACAGCTTTGGGTTTCAGCGGCATTAATCCTTAACCCGGTTTAGCGTGTCATTCATTATGCGGCGTTTATTCTATAGGATTCTCCATTATGCACAGGAGATCGTTGATGAACATCTGAAAAAGAGAAGGGGAAGGAACACAGCCCTGTGCTACACCTGCATTTAATAGAATTAATTTGAAGAATGCCCGTTGATTACCACACTTACCGAACGGTTTTTCAAGAAACTCAAGCAAAAGGGCTGTCGACATGAAAGGCAATCAGTTTAGAAGCAAGAGCATCACGCCGCACTTTGTCGAATGCCGTGAAGTTATCCAGAGCAACGACGTTACTTTCGCCAAAGTGGCGAATAGGTCTGTTTCACGTTTCGGTAAGCGAGGGCATTAGGTCACCAATGGACCGTTATAATACTTGGCATTTTTTTTCATATTATTGTGTATTTATTTATCGTTTCCTTTCAACTAAAAATTCTCTGGACATATTATACTCAAAAATGTTGGTATTGTTATTGTAAAATGTAATTAACTTGCTTTTGATTAATAAAATGGTGTGAAACCAATTTGTAAGGTTAACTATTAATTACTTTGGCTACGTGAATGAATTGGTCTTTCGACATTTCGTTTCCATAAAAGTAAAGCGAAAAATCTGGCTCAAGTGGCGAATTTCGCATGATGTATAAAAATCTAGATCATGAATGCTTTTTGTAGAAAAGGAATTTTAAATGACAACGCTAAAAATTCAAATTTTATATCCACCATCGAAAGATATTGGTACAATCATTTTGCCGAACCGTTTGCAGCGTCCAGAACGAAGTTGTGGAGCAAGCTCATTAAGTGTATATATATATTTTTGACCAGTATTAAGTTCGGAATCGATTTAAGCTTGTCTGTCTGTTCATTTGTGCAGTGTGTGCAGTAAATATTCTATCTACTTATACTGCTCTATCTTACAAAGAATTAGGGTTTTCCGTTGATTGCTCATAAGCTAAGTAGGGATGTAAGCATTACTGTAGGATGTAAAAACAAACGGTCACTTCTTCATCTGAAGGTACTGTCTTCAAGCTATGCGCAACTGTAAACATTACCAACATAAAGATAACGCATTATATGTTTCTTGGAGCTTAAAGTAGATGTAGTGCTGACGCAAAAAAAAAAAAAACGCAATTTGCCGCAAATTTTAATTTTCCTGCTTATTTCAAAATATAATGGTGCTCGTTAGAGTGATGTTGCGTACCAGCCAAACTATTGGCATCGACGATAAAGCTGAATATCCATCACTGAGTAAAGCTATCAACAACAACTGATGCGATTGGGGCGGAAAACGGTAACAATATTTCAAAAGCCATGATATCTTAAGTTTTCAATATGACGAAAGCCCGCCCTATATAGCAAAATCCGGTGACTTATTACAGATGGAGTATTATTTCCATAAATAATTCTTTCAATTTCTAGGTAAGCAAGGATATTTTATTTAAAAAAAAACAGGACGGAGTCATATGCACTCACTCAGTACAGCAGATATAACGATAGAAAATTGTACGTATATTTGAAGACCGATATTATTAGTGTGGATTTTTGCTTTTAAGTAAGAAGTCGTCAATTCATATGTCGTGTAAAGAGCAGTAAGCTCTAATTCATTATACCCAACACCGGTTACATTACAAAGCTATATTAAGTTTGTGCGGATGTTTGCAGCATCCAAAATGACTTGAGATAGACTCACTTTTTGTTTAATCGATCAATTTAGTATGACTCTCCCAATCGATCTAAGCTTACATGTCAGGGTATATTAAGTTAGGTGCGGGTGTATATAACAAACGGAAGTATTAATCTTTAATTATACGAACCGATTCAGAAAATGATTCCGATTCGTTTGTTTGCCAGGTTGTCTGAATGTTTGCCTTTCTGATGTGTGACCGCGTACTATTATATTTATCCGACAAGTAAAAATTTCGGAGATATTTTGACGAGATTTACTGTACTCACATGCTTCGGCACGCTATTAAAAATGGTCCGGATCGGGCCAACTTTTTCGACCACTTTTTCGTTTCGAGTCTCATTCTGAAAAGTTGTTACATGAGCGTCTGTAAGGCGCTGGACGTTATTTAACGGTGGACCGTGGCTTACTACAGAGCTTTTAGTTGTCTTCAATAGGGCTCGGCCTAAAATATATTTTTGTGCTAAATTTTATCAATATATCTCGAAAATTGCAAACTGAGGTGACCAAAGAAGAACGTGAATACTCAAGTGAGGGTTGACGGATAGACACGCCCATATGCTATAACAAAACAAATTAAATTTATTTAAAGTTATTTTTAGCATCGCATACCGCCATACAAACTTGATAAATCCAGATCTGAACCAAGCAGAAGCTATTCCTTAATTAAATATACATATTTGAGGAGCAACGTTTATTAAGCGCAATTTGCTGTTACGCATAACTTTTGCACTTAACATAACTTGTTACAATGGTAAACCGAATGTGCTGTCGTAAGTTTAAAAAAAGGAAGAAGAAGAAGAAGAAGAAGAAAAATTAAAACCACTTATTTCTGAAAAAATTAACACATAGTGTCCATTTTCGCGCGTTCTGCTGTGTGTATTAAATTAAAATAAAATAATCTTCATTTCTAAAAATTTGAAAGCTTAACATTTATCGTGTTTGTTTATTCGTTTGGATGACCCTAAAATCAATAGCAATAGAAGTTAATATATCATATCGATTCCAATCGAAGCTCCGTGGGCGGCAGATGCCTGCAATGGGTGATGCGAGAACTTTAACGTCATTATGGTTTGTCTTCTCTACACTTTTACATTTGTCCCAACTTTTAAGAAAAATTTTGAATAATTTCCCGCACAATTTATTTGAAACGTTTTTTTCAAAAATTCATGAGTAATTTTTCAGTCTTCCTTTTTTTTTTTTGAAAAAAAAGCAAAGTTTTTAATTTTAATGATTCACAAGAAAAGGAAAATGTTTATTTCCAGAAAACTTTTTAAAGTTACTTTAAAAATTTTGCTATAAACAATTTTTCAATAAAACTTTCCATAGAATATTTTAAAAAGCTTTCTTGAAAATTTCCGATAACCATTACCAAAAGACATTTTTGTACCTACATAGGAATTTTGTTAAAAGTTTTTTTTGGAAAAATTGTCAAATGACTTAATGAAATCATTTTTTTTTTTTAAGCCTTTTTATAGAAGGTTACGAAACAAATATTTTCTAAAACTTTCTATTATTTATTTATCTTCGCGCGCTTCGCTTACTTTTTTTTTTTTTTTGTTTTTTGTTCTTTAAAATAAAATAATTTTCATAAACAAACTCACCTTAAGCCATTAAACTGCATTCGTAGTTTAACCAAATTCAGCTTCATATCCATAAATGATCGCATTTCCAGATCTTCTAGTTGTGAATGGGAGATTTTCAAATTAACTTTAACATTCGGATCGAATTTATTGGATAAGGCGTCTACGATTTTATGAAAAGAATCCACTTTCTCGCAAGACAAGTCTACATAATTGTGCGCAAAGGTGGGTTCACAGGTGCAGGGTGATATTTCCGGGCGAGCAGCACAATGCACTGAAGCCACATTTGTTATGCTTAAAACAGCGTATACAAAGGAAGCCATCGTTGACGGTTTAATATGTGAAGTTAATACATATATGCACACGCACACACTGACACTCACCCTCGCACACAAACGTACAATCACACATACGCACACACGCACAGACGCATACACACATGCACACTAATACATTTACAGATGTGAAGTTTTTGACTTTAAATGCGAATGAAATAATGTCATGAAATAAGTTCAGTTTCGGTTTATGTTTTCGTCGAGTTTTCTTCGTCTTTTTTTTATTAATTTCATTCGTTTTGCAGAGTTAGGGGAATTTTTAACTATTTATTTATTTTTATTATTATATTCTGTTTTTTGTTGATAATAGCGCGTTCTTTTTTTATAAATACTCGAATCGTTTTTCAATTTTTGATTTTTCTGTTTACTTGACAACCCATCAATTTGATTTATTACGAATCATAGGAACTGTACACATTTTACAATGAAATTTGAGTTTTTTTGTTTGTTCTTTTTGTTTTTGTTTTTGTATTTTTTTTTTCCCATATATGACAATGTGCTTTGCTGGTTGACTGAGTGGTGGTCTATCAATAGCCGATCAACGCATCATGCCCAGTATATGAATTATCTTCAAAGTTTTTGCAAGTATAGTAGGCACATACAACAACTAAAGCAGCTACTAATCGCAAAGTAATAATCACCCTTTTGAACCGCTAGAGCACGAGGCTTCAACATTATCGCGTTGGCTTAAAAGTTTCTTTTTTGTCTGTTTTTTTTTTTTTTTTAATGAAAAAGTTTTATGACACTACCTCTCCCTTTTCCATTCCTTCTCTCTCTCACTCTCTCTCTCTCTCTCTTTCTCTTTCTCTTTCTCTCTGTCTGTCTCTCCTTTCACTCTCTGTCTCTCTCTGTGAGACGGTAAAGAGTGACAAAAATATGGTTGTCAAAAACAAAAAAAAATTATTTGGAAGCGAGACGATGATGATCTTAGAAAATGTTTTCTCTCGCTGAATTATTCTCTTTTCAACCACCTTTCTTCTTGCAGCACATTATTCATTAAATTTATAATTGTAATCAATCGTTCTTTATTATCACTACTAGTATAGGTGTTGCTCACGAATTTTTGTGCCTTTTCCATTGAAAATACAATATCGAATATATAGAATAGTTGTTATAGTTTTTATTTATTCTTTATATTTTCTTTGATTTATCATTTATAACGATTATAGGAATCTGTTGTATTTGTTTTCTTTTGGTGACTGCTTGCTAGTTGTTATCTTGACTGCTACTGTTTTAAAGTATCAACCTCTAATGGTTTCATAGATATAGTATTATTTGTTTGGTATATATTCGCACATAGATCCGCGCACAATATATGTAACATACACATTCACATAAGCTGTGATATGATATGTGAATAATGTGAATATATTATTATATTAAAATAAATGTCGTAGTTAACATTTGACACTCATATATCAATTAAATTTAATCTAATAGAATTTCTTTCTAAAACAGAAACAATTAAAATTGGAAAAAATAGCACCAGCTTCAGTATCTTATATGCTCTTACACACACACACACACACATATATATGTATATATATATATATATATATGTATATATATACATATGTACATATATATATATATATATATGTATATGTATATACATACATATATACACACACACATACGTACACGCATTTACACACACACACACACACACACGTGCACGCACGCACACACCCATACATGCACACCCACACACCCACACCCACACCCACACATGCACACAACATAAAATTTGTATTTGTATTTTTGTTTTTGTTTTCTTCTTCTTCTTATGTTTTATTTCGATTATATTTCATTATTGGACTGAGAGGGACGTGCTGCTGTAATGGATATTTAAATGTTTTTCACTAATGTTTATGTTTAAAAAGAGTTTTTTTATAAAATTTCGTTCTTTCCGCATTATAAGTCATTTCAAGACGGGTTTATTTGTTTCAGAGAAAGAGTTTTTTCTTCCACGTATTTTGAGATTTTTATTCGAACACGTCTTTATTCAAGCACGTTCCGCTTACGACTGGGACAAAATATTTTGATATTCTATCGGGAGGATTATCGCTGTTGTCGTCATGACTTATATATATATATATATATATATATGTATATATTTCATAATATATACAGCGTTCAGTCGTAGTAGCTCTTCGGTAGTGAACTGCGTGTTTGTGATATCAGTTCTGTCTTTACACACACTCACACACACAAGTTCCTCTGCATAAGTGCAAGTGTAATGTAATTGCACAATATATTGTATCCAGCAATAACTGTTTATTTTATTTTTAATTAACAAACCGATTTATTAGGAACTTTTTTGAAAAAGGGCAAGGATCTGCTCACTTTTTTTCCGATCGTGAATAACAGCCAACAATAGTTTTAAGCGATATTTGATAACAAAAACAACAAAAAAAAATTTTTTTTTTTGTATTAAATGTAAATTAAGAATAAGTGATAAAAGAAAATAAAACAAAAAAAAGGAAAAAGTGTTAAAACATATAATGTATTTACTTCAAACTCAATGTTTCTCGTTTCTGTAATTATGAAATTGAATACATCAATGAAACATGTACAATACAGCAAAATTATTAACACAGGCCTCATAGGCTTTTTTCTATTATTTTATTAATAGATAAGGCGGATACGGATGCAACCTGAAGGTATGTTATCAAACAAATGTGTACACAGGGCGTTCATAGCTAAAGAAAACAGTAAAAAAGCTGAATCGAAATAGACAGAGAAGAGTCGCGAAAACGACAGTCCAATTCCATCTCTTGAAACGGAAAATGAAAAGCTTTCTGCATAAGTATGCATTAAAATTATTATGAAAAACGTTACAATTATTTAGTTGTGCATATCGGAAAAGTCAATCTAGGGGTAACGGTCGTCAAATTCCTTCGACGAATATTTCCTTTACAGTTCATAGACAATGTATTCAATATTTAGATTAAAATAGAGTCAATTGCTGACTAGCGAACGAATGCACTTTTAATATCGAAAATTGGACGTTCATTTTACTTGAATACAAAAGGAAGAGACCTAAAAGGTTAAAAAGGATGAGATTCATTTAACACAGATAGTAAACAATAATACCAACCCGTCAATATTTAACCAAGCTATGCCAGCTTACGTTGTTTAAACTTATTTTTTGAATTCAATGATTACATAATATTATATTGTATTGATCGATATTGTTGACTTTTTGTTTCCTAAAATTGATTAAAAATAAAAACGAAAAGTTAATGCGTTAACGTTGCAATGCGCAGAAATTAGAGAGATCAGCCGCTGTATGATGGTCGCAATGGTCGCGGGTTCAAATCTCAAATGCGGAAATATTTTCAATACAAATGAGCATACGATTTAAGTTATCTAGCAGCCTTTAAATACATACTTTGTAAATTTATTTACAAAATATATACACAATAAATAAATAAAATAAAATAACAGTTTTACTGCAAGAGAATCGCCCAAAGTTAGAGCAATGTATATAGGTTAACATGCGAAATTGTTTTAGTGAATATTGGCATGCAGATTGATCTATTTAATTATATCTGAAACTGGCATAGGGGGGTCGTATTTTGTTTTGACAAACTATATATCATTTCAACATGCAAAGTACTCAGTACGATAATACTTAGCCGTAAACGGTTTTCTTTTTATACAAAAATAGCACGATGGATCAGTTTGATATTTGTACACGCGAATTCATGTTCACTGTCGCCGTAATAAATCAGCATTCATTTTTTATCTATGCTTTGGTGAACTGGATGATGAAAAGTATGATGAAATCAACTGAAATTATTACAAAGAGGAGATACTTTATTCATATAGCTCTTAATTACTTTGTGGTACAGGAGTAAAGTAAGCTTGTCTGGCCAGCTGGCCGCCCTGTATACATCTGTTCAACGTGTAGGTCGCGATTTTTGCGATAATTTGATAAAATTTGCTACACCATTATGTTGTATATGTCGGCCGAAACCCATCGTTAAATTCCTTGCGACTCTTCCCTTAATACACCAAAACGTATGCATCTAAAGACGTAATTTTGATGAAAGACTTCACATTGAAGGTTGCCCAAACCAACCTCGAAAAATTGGTCCATTCGATCGAGCTTTTCACATTAATTGCGAAATACAGTCATTTTCGATGAGCAATTTTAAAAATTGCAAATTTCTTTCCATAAAGCAAAAATACAAGGTGAACAGATGGACAGACAAGCTGAGATCTATGCACAAAGTGCTTTTGTCTCTTCAAAATTCTCTGCATGTTATAAACAATCGCACAAACTTAAGATGCTTTCGTATCACAAATGGTATAAAGTAAAAAAAGCCAAGCCTTTCCTCAAAGAACTATAGAATTACAAGTAGTAAAATTATACTCAGTTGCGACCGAATCTTTTACACCCGTCACCTACGTTACCCTATAAAAGATTGAAGAAAAAATTAAAAATATAAAGGTATATATATATATAATATTGGTTGGACGTGGCTGATTGTTTTCTATTTTTATTAAACAATTTTGTGGAACTTTATATTGTGTATCTGTTGTAGTTTGTGAGCGACGAATGAAAAATATGGAGAGCAAAGATGCTCACAGTTTTGGTTGTATAAACGTGTGGGCGTTGTAGGCATGTATATCGACGCAGTTGGGTCGATTTCAAATTCTTTTCCGAATTTATTGGCGATGTTTCCATTTTTGCTAACAGGGGAACGTGCACTACATAGTTGGACAGATGGACGGATTAAGAGTCGGATAGATGGACAGACGAAGACACAGATGTGCTTACGTGTATTCCGAATTTGAAACTGTCCAAGAATTTATATATTATATATTTATGTATTTATATATATTTTATGGGGCTTTACCTCTGCTTGCTATAGACGTATTGTAAAAAGAATTAAATTTTCTTACACTGTAATAATGCAGGTGCTACAGAATCGCCCATAGAATACGCGTTCAAATTTTTGTACGCTTGTCTGCTATAGTTTATGAGTAATGAGCAAAAATACCAAGTTTTTTTTTTTCTGAAAACGAGAGGTGTTCTCAATTTACGTGGTACTGTAAGCGTGTCCTTGAATCGATTTAGCCCATTTTCAATACCAACCTGTGTACGAGAGCTTCGAATGATGCTGGCGAATTTGAAGTCGATAGCATCATTTTTGCGGGCAGGAGAATGTTTCCAACAGACATTATACAGTAGGACAGACGGACGTGCTGAAGTCGATACTGAATTTGATGTTAATCAACAATATAGACACTTTGTGCGGTCTCTGACGT